GAGTAATGATAGTGTATATTATGATCATAATTTATAAATAACAAAATTCAGAAAGAATGTTTTGTTGATGTGAATTCATATTAGACATTTTAAAATCTTGAAACTACAATATAATGTGCATATTTAATGGATATTAAAACCTTGCGGGACTTTTTCTTTGTAATTTCAAGAAAAAGTGTTTAAAATAATATTTATTAAGTTCAAGATTTTTTTGTTCATTATGTGTGGATCACAGTACAAGAACAGGAAGCCCCATGGAACAATTTATACTTTTGGTAAACTATTTCAAGTAGTATTTGTGAAAATGAACTGGGTAGCATCTGGCTTTTATAAGAAGAGTAGGATTTGTTTGCAGTACTCTGTAGATGAAGCCACCAGCAGGTATTGCATGTGTATCATTAGAGGAAAGCCCTGTTATAGACACTGTGTCTGACGAAACTACAGAATGCAAGTGTGTAAAATTATTAAAATGAAAAGAAAAGCAGCATTAAACACATTTGTCAGGAAATGTAAAATGGCACAAAACTGGAGATTATTATAATTTTAGACATTTCAGGATCCCTGTTAATGTTTGACAAATATTTAAGTGAGAACCTATTATACACTAGGCACTGTGCTAAGGCTGGGGATTGTTCATTTATTCATTCATCATCAAATATTAATTGAGTTACTTCCAGACCTGCTCAGCATTGAGGATAGAGTGGTGAATGAAACAGCAGGCACAAGTTAAAGCAAATGGTCGCCGGGCGCGGTGGCTCACACCTGTATCCTAGCACTCTGGAGGGCCGAGGCAGGCGGAGCTTGCTCGAGGTCAGGACTTAGAAACCAGCCTCAGCCAAGAGCGAGACCACCGCTCTTACTATAAATCTAGAAAGAAATTAATTGGCTAACTAATATATATAGAAAAAAAATTAGCCGGGCATGGTGGTGCCATGGCTGTAGTCCCAGCTGCTTGGGAGGCTGAGGCAGGAGAATTGCTATAAGATATTCTATACTATAGAAAATACACTTTTGATCTTAGTATATGATAAATACATAATTCAGTTTTCAACGAAGAAAACTTTTTAAGTCTGTTCAAGAATGTTTAAAGAATAAAATCATGTTAATGTTTTTTCTTTCTTTACAGAATAATCATGTTGTACAACTTGAAATTCCAGGAATATTGTTTGAAAGGTTGGTTTCACCGAAAGTCATTATAAAGGCTGATACATTTAAATTGTTTTCTTGTTGTTTCATACATTTTACCAAAGAAAGGCAAACTTATTTTCACCAAAAGAACCTCAAAACTTGAGTTCTAGTCATTAACAGTTTTCTCACAAACTCCATCAGCCAATTAACCTTCATTTTGTACTTGTTATCTACTTAATGTTTATGGCATGACTTTTGAGGGTACACTTACACCAAAAAAATAATTTAATAAACACAACTATTAACATTTCTCTAATTAGTACATGTATATAAACATATATACAGTCTCATAAAGGAACACTTTTGTCTTTGAAATATATACCTTTTGACCTCCTGGAGCTTCAACTGTGTGATGTTCTTTCAATTTTTGTTCTTGTTCCATTATGTCTTTCAAATGTTCATTTACCTTAAAATATAAATATATTAGTTTGAATTTATATTCAAATATAATGATAAAATATTACATACCTAAAATACCTATAGTCAGATCCCTGATGTCAAATTTCAGTGCCACTCAAGTAAGTAAAATCCCAGCTTAAGAACTTGATGCTCAGAGTTTTCTATTGATAATAAAAAACATTAATTTTTAGATAGATGATTTTCATTTACTAGTTTCAAAATAGATTGTAAAATTTTTACTTAAAATAGTATTATTTTGCTTCCTAAGTATTAGAACTGATGTTATCAAGTAATTTTTTTTTTTTTTTTTTTGAGACAGAGTCTCGCTTTGTTGCCCAGGCTAGAGTGAGTGCCGTGGCATCAGCCTAGCTCACAGCAACCTCAATCTCCTGGGCTCAAGCAATTCTCCTGCCTCAGCCTCCCAAGCAGCTGGGACTACAGCCATGCACCACCATGCCCGGCTAATTTTTTTTCTATATATATTAGTTAGCCAATTAATTTCTTTCTATTTATAGTAGAGACGGGGTCTCGCTCTTGCTGAGGCTGGTTTCTAAGTCCTGACCTCGAGCAATCCGCCTGCCTCGGCCTCCCAGAGTGCTAGGATTACAGGTGTGAGCCACCGCGCCCCGGCGACCATTTGCTTTAACTTGTGCCCTGCTGTTTCATTCACCACTCTATCCTCAATGCTGAGCAGTGTCTGGAAATAACTCAATTAATATTTGATGATGAATGAATAAATGAACAAATCCCCCAGCCTTAGCACAGTGCCTAGTGTATAATAGGTTCTCACTTAAATATTTGTCAAACATTAACAGGGATCCTGAAATGTTCTAAAAATTATAATAATCTCCAGTTTTTGCCATTTTACATTTTCCTGACAAATGTGTTTAATGCTGCTTTTCTTTTCATTTTAATAACTTTTACACACTTGCATTCTGTAGTTTCGTCAGACACAGTGTCTTAAACAGGGCTTTCCTCTAATGATACACATGCAATACTTGGTGGTTATCTACAGAGTAGCTGCAAACAAATCCTATCATTCTTTAAAAGCAACAGATGTACCCAGTTCATTTTCACAATCTACTTTGAAATAGTTTACCAAAGTATAAATTGTATCCATGGGGGCTTCCTGTTCTTGTACATGTGACTCCCACCATATATTGAACAAAAACAAATCTTGAACTTCAAATAAATTATTATTTTAAACACTTTTTTCCTTGGAAATTACAAGAAAAAGTCCCCAAAGATTTTAATATCCATAATTATGCTACAGTTATATTGTAGTTCAAGATTTTATAAAAACTGTCTATATGATTCAATCACAAAAACATTTCTGATTTCTGAATTCATTTTATATTAATGACTCACATAAAATATAACACTAATATTACTAAAATAGTCTCTGAAGGATAACAAATAATCCTTTAAGTATTAAAAATACAGTATTGATAACAACTCAATTTTCAAAATTAGGACAATTCTGAAATTTCACCAATGTGAAATTTTAGTTATTTTCTTAACAAAAACTGAAAGCAAACACTGATGAACACTCAAAGGATCAATAAAGGTGACAAATCTCAAATAGTCTGGTAACTAAAGAACAATAATTATCTATGAGCTAGTGAGAATAAACTAAATTTCAATTTCATGCTCAATGACTCATTACACATATAAAAATAAGCAAGGGTACCAAATCATCTTATTTCATATAACTATATGAAATACATATTTATACATATGGTAGTAAATAATATACAACCTTACTTTTCAGTTAATTTTTTATTTATGGACCAGAAACATTTAATAGCTTATCCTCTATTTTGCCAACATTAAGACAACAGACCAATTTTGTACGTGACTTTAAGTTTGGCTTTGCACTACAAAAGAAATCTCTAGCTAATGGTGTATTAAAAAAACATAAAATAAGCAGAAAAAATCAAACAAAAACTATTTTTTCAAAGGCTCTTTTGACTGATATAGTTAATCTGTAAGCTAAAAGTGGCTAAGCTACTTATATATCTTGTTCCAAGGTTTTTTTTTTCTTTAACAAAGTAAAGGGAGAAAAAATAATTTAATTTACCTTTATGGATGAAGCTGCATAGAGCATGTCTTCCAGGGTGAAATGGCAACACTGGTTCAAGTATTCTTGGCAAAATTCTTGAATCAGCTGCAGATTATACAGGCTATCAGCCAAAGACATAGTTTCTTTCAAACAAATATCTTCAAATAGGAAAAGAGTAAGGTGATGACTTTAGGTTAATTCGATAAAAACATTTCATATCAATTTTGTAATTGGTGATTTAGTACAAATACACAATTATGTGGAATTTGTTCAACAGACATACGTTTTTAGATATAGTGGTCATTACACAGAAAGACTAAGAAATCAAGCACTACTTTTCTCATTATCTTCCTCAGAATTATACATAAATATTCTTTTTTAAAAAGCTGTCATTACTTGTTAAGTATTGTTGTCTTAAATATCTGTTACTATCTATCTGTAGCTCAGAACCATTCTACTGACACTTACCCTCTAACCTGACAACACCAGGGCAGTAGAAGTGAATGAGGGCAGCTAAGGCACAGCCGTCTGTGCCGTCCTTCAGCAGATTCTCCACTAGCGGAATGCACGGCAACTGCTTCAGCAGTGTTTGCTCTTTCCTATAACGAGCCTATAATAGAAAAAAGATATGAAAATAAGTAAGTACTAAGCAACACACAAGAAAAAAATTGGTGTTGTAGATTCTAACGTATCAGTAATAATTCAACAGAAATGAGTACTCACCAATATCCTTCTTTTCTAAATAATGATACGCATTACCAAAATTAAATATACAGCAACAACACTATAGTTTTGAAGCTAAATAGTTAATATAACATATTGCTAATTTACATGAAATGATGTCTAATTTCAATACTTAAATATAAAAGCATCACAAAACAGATTTGGAATATTTCGTATCCCAATCATCAGTTCTGCTCTTTTGATAAAATTCATTTTCTTTAATGCTAGACTTAATTTATACTCAAAGTTCTTACACAGATAGACTGAAAGTTATATGGGAAGAACAAGAGTACTATTTGAGCAGAAGAATTACAAGAATTATCAAAATCAGGGGCCACGTAGAAGAATATATATAGCGTTAAAGGAAATTTGGAGATTAAAAAACATCACTTTGAGGAACTAGAATAATATCACCAAAGACATTCTGGCTTATCATTTGAATACTAAAATAACACAAATAGTGTTAACAACCTTGAAACTGAAAAAAAAAACCTCCTAATTCAAGTTTCATTAAACAAGAATAGAGCCAAGCATAAGGGTTCCTGCTCCTCCTTAGAAAAACAGAAGAAACTTTCGTTTTCTAAAGATTGCTCGGTGTGTCTGGACAAATTTTCAAGATAGTTCTCTAAAAATAAGACATGCTGTAAAGGTGGCTAAGAGAACAAGCTATTGGATCAGATTACCTGGGTTCAGATCCTGGTTCTGCCACTTATTAGCTTTGTGATCTTGGACAAGTTACTTAAACTCTCATTTCTCATTTTACCCATCTATAAAATGGGGATTCTAATAGTACGTACTTCATAGACCCACCAGAGGATAAAAGATGATGATGGACACAGAGTGCTATGCACACTGCTGGGCACAAAAAGGCAATCAATAAAGCTTAGCTGTTATTAGCTACTAGCTCTCCTAAAGCCAAGAAAAATAATGCTCAAGATTTAGTGAGAGTACATACTATTTTATTAGCAAAATGTATGATAACATAGGTTACTGATATTTAAATATTTTTTAAAAAAGCAATCGAAACTTTTTTCTTCTAATTCCATAAGTGGTCATCTCTATATTTTATAATTAAAATATAATTATGAAATAAAATGCTTTTGTGAGAATAAAAATAGAAAAATAAAAACTTACTTAAAGAGAAAATTTAACATTTGGTGGTAACGTAAGATTTCTTTTAAATAATAGCTCTCAGCAAAGCATACGCATTAATGAATAAAGAGATATTTATTCCTGCTTCTCTCTCACTGGCTGCCCAAGGATAAGATTCATGGAACATGTTTTCCTCTTGAAGATTTTTGGAGGAGCTTGTTCTTATTCATCAGTGCAGGCTAGAATCAGTATTTGATGGTCTGTTCTAACTCAGAGGGTAACTATATTCAGAAAAAAAAAATCACTTACATGTAATATATAGATTCTTTAATTCTTTAATTAATTTATTCTTTAACAGATTCTTTTTACATAAGCCTTAGAAAAATTCCTCACTGCCAGGGGACAGTTTAAAAATCAACCATGGGGAAGGGAGGGGAGGGGAGAAAGAACAAAGAAACCACCAGCATCATCTTCTAGCGTTAGCAACCTTTCTCACCTTCAGTAAGTACTGTTCCAGAGCCTTACACTCTTTTCTTTGGTCATTTAGATTCAAAATAGCCTGCCTCTTGGACATCCTCTAAATTGGGCTAGACTCAGTCTCAAACTTCCCAGGATATTCCCTGGGACTGGTTTATTTTCAGTCTACAATCTGAATTGGACTTAGCCAAGGTCATGGAACAAAGAACTGAATGTGTGATCTGTTGTATTCCTCTCTGCCAAGCAGCACTTCTGGACAAAGTGTGTGCACACATGCACACACACACAGCTTTATGTAGCTTTAGCAATAAATGTCTATGGTTTAGATTAGACAATCAGAGATTTAGGAATGGCATGCCAAAACATTTTCCTGAAGATTATATCCTAGAAGATATATAAGGTAAGCCAACTTTAAATCTCGAGGTTATATGCAACTCTCAGAAAGTCCATCTGTAGTTCATGAACAGTTCATCAAAGCCTTTTATACTTGAACATGCTATATGCTTTATAAACTCACTGCAGGAAAATATTCCCTGTTCTTTCTACAAACTTCAACATTTGGCATTTAAAAGGAGTACCTATTTTCCATATTTTAACATCATGGTGTATTTCTGAATTGTAGTTTTATTTCTGAGGGTGTAAAAGAGTTTCTTAAGTGGTTTAACCACCCCCACATCCACCCTGATTTAATCCTGAGAGATCAACCCTTCAAATAAAACCAGAATTTGATATAGATTAGGTCTAATATTGGTGAGGACACAGAAAAGCATTTGCTTTTTTAATCACACAAAAAGTTAAGTGTCTCCTATAATTCAAGCTAAAAAGGAAATGATTCTGTCAAAAGATTTTAAAATACAGTTAATTTACACCTGCAATTCAAACTCAACTTTGCTAAAATTATGAAAATCAATGAGAACCTACATCCATAAGGATTGTATTGCTTAACCTATTTACCAATGATCTGTCAGTATTGATAAGACTAGCAAAAGGATGCTTACCCTTTAAATTACTTTTAAAACTTCTAATCCATACTTTGGCTAGATTTTTTATCTTTCCATTTGATGTTATGACCAAATACCTTAAAATCCAATCTCTATTCAGTGACTAACAGAATTATATGAAATGACTATACCAACAAGACACAAACAATACCATTCTACATATTACAGTTCTGGAGAGCAAATTGAAGTAGCTGGGCAAACTTACTGGAACCAGTTTCCAAAACCATTTGGAAGGAGACTTCAGAGGAAGCAGCAGAAAAAAAGGGGGAAAGCAAAGGTAAAGGGAAAATTCATCAGAATTATCTTCAATTAACAAATTATAGTAAAGCTTCTGATAGTGGAGTTCCAAGTTTATAACTCTCATAACATTTATTTTCAGTAAGTTAATACTTCAGCTAAAAACATATAGGTTCCTAATGATAAAGACAACCACTTTCTCCTTCCCTCTCTCCTCTTCCCATACAGAAATACACTTTAGGATATCTAGGGTGTGCAATACACTTTGGCAGCAAAGAATTTATTTCTGAGTTCTGGAACCGTATATCAGATTAAAAATTAATTTATATCATGAAAGGGAAGTAAAAAAAATTCTAGGGCTAGATTTGCAATCATAATTCTTAGACATAAGTAGAACAAGTCTGGTAAGGCAATATTTTTCCCAACAAAAGGGAAGAAAGATCATTTCAATAAAAACAAATATAAAGCAAATAACACTGTAGTAGAATTTACTAAGATGATCATTTCTTTCAACTATATAAAAAGTTTCTTGTAATTAAGGGGGAAAAAAACTAGTTGGCATTTCTTACCAATTAAAATCTTTGTTAACTCTCTAAAGCAAGTAACTACTTATTAAAGAGAATATAAATGTTATTAATTTTGCTATCTAGGAGTTCCCCCCAAATCTAATTTTTCTCTTTAAACAATGAATATAATAAACCCGTAATTTCAGATAATATGAACTAATAATTTGTGATTATTTCTTTGCCTATCCTGGAAAAAGTTCTGGCATCTCTGAATAAATATTTGTTGAAGTGAACCAAACTAAATAGGATATGCATTAAAATTCATATTCAATTTTTATGTAGAAAGTTTTTCCTATATAAATTCACATGAAAAGTAAGATTACTTAGAAAAATACTATCAAATAAGGTATTTCCGAGAGCTTTAAAAATAAGAAAAACATCATCCCAAGAACCACAAAAATACCAAATTCCTACATATAAACATTTCCAATACATTTTTCTTATAGCATCAGGAAGATTAACCCCAATAATTTTGTTGTATGTAATAATATTTTAATCTCCTATTTAACTGGAAAATTTTGGCAGCTGCAGTTACAACAGCCATAAAAAGTACAAGAGCAGGAAACCACTGAAAATGTGTCAGCATTCCCAATTTATAATAGAAATTTTAAAAATAGAGAGTTTTTTTGTTTGTTTTCTAAATTAGAAGAATCCATTGCATAGAAACTGATGATAACATGCAATTATTATGGACTATTCATAATAGCAGGTATCTCTAATGGCTCAAGTTATTCCATATTTCTTATAAAATATTCAATAATTGGATTTTTTACTAATTCAGACTGCTCTGGCCTTTCTCTTCTCCCTCCACTGGTCTAAACTGGTGATGGCAATCTTACTAAAGGAAAAAAGAAAACCACATAGATTAGCCATTTGAAGGAAATATGACTAAAAAAAGTAAATGTGCTGGGCCAGGCGTGGTGGCTCACACCTATAATCCTAGCACTCTGGGAGGCCGAGGTGGGAGGATCGCTTGAGGTCAGGAGTTCAAGACTAGCCTGAACAAGAGTGAGACCCCATCTCTACTAAAAATAGAAAAAGATCACCTGGGCATGATGGCACATGCCTGTAGTCCAAGCTATTCTTTAAAAAGTGGGTTATAATTTTTAATTGCTAAGGAACTTTGGTCAAAAGAGAAATTCGTATGGGCTGAAGTAATCAAGCAAAGACCTATAAGCTTTAGCCTACCCTCTCTCAGGGGGAAAGTGTAGTCTGTATTGAGACTATACCTTCAAGTGAAAAGCAATTAGAGCTCAGTGAATGTCTTTTCTCCTAAGGTAATTTCTTCCTCTAATTCCCACACCCCTATAAAACACCTCACAAATATTTCTTTTTAAAAAGTGACAAAGGCCATATCGAGTAGATATGTATCTTTGAAGAAACACTAAAGTTCACTATATATATAGTTAATATTGGAGTGCAAACCCACAAATTCATAGCTCTTTCAAAAATGATCCTGCCAAATTGGTCTATTGAGTAATTCCCAAGTGTGCCTTTTACTCGCAACTTAGTGTTTCTATTCACATTGTTCCCGATGACCTAGTACCCTCCTTTCCAAGTATCATGAAACCTACTAAGGCCCTGTTAAAGCCCCACCTCTAGAAAGCTTTCATAGACATTTCGCTCACACAATTATCAGAAATCTACTAGCAGCATACATATAGAAAAGTCATGACAGCCAACTACTTACTATTTTCACCAACCAACCTTTTGTTTGTGAGTTCCTTATGTTTACTAAAGTATTGAGAAGGGGAAAACTAAGAATCTTTTCAATCACATAATTTAAAAACCATTCAATCCAACCTTTTAATTTTTACAGATTTTAAAAAATGAGGCCCAGAAAGGTCAAGTGCCCTTGTAAAGGTCATGAAGCTATTTAGTGGCAGAACTAGTCTGACTTTAAGTGCAGTACTCATTTTACCATAGCATTTCATACAAACTTTTCAAAAGAATGAATGCTGGACTTAATGTCATCTTGGCCATAAACTTTGGAGATCTTTAAAGTAGGCTTTCTAGATTTAGCAAATAAAAATACAAGATGCCTACGCAATACAAGACACCAATGTAACTTATACTAAAAAATTATTTGTTGTTCATCTGGAATTCAAATTTAACTGGGCACACTACTTTATAGTCAAAAGGAAGCAAAAAGAGAAATTTGGGAAAAAAACAGAAAATAACATTACTAAACTGTTTAAACAAAACTTTCAACATTTTCCTAGGACATGATACTATTTAAAATGCCTTTCTCTTAGGACACCAACCAATCCAATGATGAAAGGACATAGTATCCTAAAGAAATACCTTTGGAATCTTTAATTTTGGTCCAACCCTAATAATATAAAGTACACGTATCCTTCAACATATGCATATAATTTACCAAGAATATGGTTATAAAAAGAACTTTCATAAAATAAATTCTATTGGACATCTGAGTTGAGAATAGTTTGGCAAGGACAAAAGGTAAGGTATGTTATCATCCAAAACCACGACTCTGTCTACAGCTAGACAAGTAACGGACATAGGGGTAGGCAGCTAAGTATGCTTCACTAGGCAAGCCAGCTAAAGCAGATGGAAAGAGTGATGACTTCTTATCAACTATATAATAATAAGAGCAAGTCATTTTATCTCTCATTCCTAAAAGGAGAAAAGGATCACAAACCATGCTTTTACAGAATTAAAAAAATCAAGAATGGAATGATAATATTTCCAGCCAAACCAAGAACACAGTTCAAATGCCAAAAATCCCATTGTCAAGTAATGGAGTAAGATTCCTTTCCCTAGCTTATTCTGTGACAGTGTGTTTCCTCATAATGGTAACACCTGTACCTGCAATAAGACTATGTGAAATTAACACTCATTTTCACAAAGACTCTAATAATGGAAAAAAGGATAAAATTCATTTGAAAATGAAGGTATAAATGCTATGTGGTACAATAAAAATATGTACTAATCCAAATATTTAAAATCGAATCTCACAATTATTCCTTCATTTACTCAATCACTATTCAACAAATACTAGTTTTTTTTTGTTTTGTTTTTGAGACAGAGTCTCGCTCTTTGGCCGGGGTAGGGTGCTGTGGCATCAGCCTAGCTCATAGCAACCTCAAACTCCTGGGCTCAAGCAATCCTTCTGCCTCAGCCTCCCATGTAGCTGGGACTACAGGCAAGCGCCACCATGCCCAGCTAATTTTTTCTGTATATTTTTAGTTAGCCAATTAATTTCTATTTATAGTAGAGACAGGGTCTTGCTCTTGCTCAGGCTGGTTTCGAACTCCTGACCTCAAGCAATCCACCCACCTGGCCTCCCAGAGTGCTAGGATTACAGGCGTGAGCCACCACACCCGGCCAACAAATACTAGTTAATATGTGCAACTGTATGGAGCTAACTGCTATGGAAAAGTCAAAGTGGTATAACAGAAGTAGTGTTTAGATTCCACTAAAGGTCACTTAATCTCACTGTTTGAAATACAATTGCATTTTTTCCATGGAAATAATGTTTATTAGGTCCTCTGTAAGCATATAAAATCTCCATTTGGTTCATAATATATATGCAATACTACAGAATTTAACAACTGCATATAATAAACAAGATTTCTATACAAAAATTTCATTACTGTTATAACTTAGAATGATGCCATCTTTACCTTATTACTGGTTAGAGCCAGGAGCAAAATTTGGGGGCAGGATTATATATACCTTCAAGGCAAAAGTTTCAACTGTTATGGTATCAAAAAGAGAAAGGAAGAGAAACTAACAGCAAAGGACTAGGGGGCATGAGATGGAAGGGATAGGGATAGAAGCTGGCTGAAGGCAGGAAAATGAAACGTGTAATCTGGGGGTATGGGAAAAGAGGAGAATTCCATGCTGATATACCTTTAGGGGAAAGGACCACAACAGAGTTAAGATGAAAGAGTAAGCACAGATTGTATTTTCAGGAGCTGGTCAGTAAGCTAGACAGGGGAAATCACTGTGATTCCCAAAACATCAAAGTTAGACAAAATTTTAGGTGGTCCTCCACAAAATTTTTCTATTGGAGTTGGTAACAGACAAAATAGCTTTCCTTTTCCTTTCTTTTTTCCCTTTTCCTTCTTTCTCCTCTTATGGAGATATCAATGACTAGTAGAATAAGCCCCAAATGTATAGTATTGTATATAATAAAGAATGTTAATCCAAATAGAAAATAAGGTCTCTGAATAATTACAATTTCTTATATCTCACTTCTAGTACTATACAACATGTTTAAAAGGTTCTCATTACAATACATTTTAAGAGATAGATGGCCGGGCACAGTGGCTCACGCCTGTCATCCTAGCACTCTGGGAGGCCGAGGCAGGCGGATCGCTCGAGGTCAGGAGTTAGAAACCAGCCTCAGCAAGAGCGAGACCCCGTCTCTACTATAAATAGAAAGAAATTAATTGGCCAACTAATATATAGAGAAAAAATGAGCTGGGCATGGTGGTGCATGCCTGTAGTCCCAGCTACTCAGAAGGCTGAGGCAGTAGGATCGCTTGAGCCCAGGAGATTGAGGTTGCTGTGAGCTAGGCTGATGCCACGGCACTCACTCTAGCCTGGGCAACAAAGTGAGACGTATCCAAAAAAAAAAGAGAATAAGAATCTAACCTATAGAAAATACATCTGATCTTAGTATATAAAGTATGAAGAAGGCTCAGAATGTTTAAGAATTAAATCATGTTAAGTTTTTCTTCTTTCAGAAATCATTTGTACAATCTTGATTCAGTTAAATTGTTTGAAAGGGTGTTTCCGAAAGTCATTTAAAGCGGACATTAAATGTCTTTTCAGACTATATCCAAGAAAGTGCACTATTCACAATATAGACTAAAAACTTGTGAGCTAGTCTAACAAGTCTCACAAACGTCACAGAATACCTCATGAGTTATCTACTAATGTTATGCAGACGAGGGCAAAATAAATAATAACATCAATAAACTTTCTCAATTAGTGATGTAAAAACATAACAGTCTCATAAGGAACTTTTGTCTTGAATAACCCTTTGACCTCCTGGAGCTCATACTGTGTGATGTTTTTCATTTTGTTCGTCATTATGTCTCAAATTCATTTACCAAATATGCAATTTTAGTTGAATACAATATAATGATAATGATACATACCTAAAAACCTATAGTTCAGATCGCCTGATGTCAATTTCAGTGCCCACTCAAGTAATCAGTAAATCCGCTTAGAAACTTGAGCTCGGGGTTTCTATTAAAAAAAAAACATTAATTAGATTAGTATGATTTCATTTATATTTCAAAAAGAGCTAAAATTTACAAAATGAATTATTGGCCCTAAGTATAGAAGGTAT